AAGGCAGGGGTAGCAATCCTATTCTCAGACAGTCTCAACTTCAAACCAATAATGATCAAGCTCAATAAAGAAGGCCACTATACACTGGCAAGGGGAAAAATTCAAGTGGAAGAGGTACACTCATAAATATGCATACATCAAACAAGGGAGCACCCAACTATATAAAGGAAATCTTAATGGACATGAAAAATCTAATATCCAATACCACAATTTTAACAGGAGACCTTACACCCTCTAATCTCCAAAAGATAGGTCAGCCAGAAAAAAACTTAAAAAAGAAATAACAGAACCAAACCAGAGCTTGAAACAAATGGATTTGGTAGACATATACAGAGTGTTCCACCAAAAAAACAGCTGAATGCACATTTTTCTCAGCTGCACATGGGTCATTTTCTAAAATAGACCACACACGCGTCCATAGATCATGCTTAGTTAGATGCAAGAAAGCAGAAATTATCCCATGCACATTATTTGATCACAGTGCGATGAAACTGGAAATAAATGACAAAAGAAACCAGAAAAAACCTTATAAACATGGAAATTACATGACACCCTACTCAGCAACCAATGGGTCAGAGATGAAATTAAACAACAAATTCAACGCTATCTACAATTCAATGAAAATTCAAGCATAACTTCTTGGAATTTATGGTATGCGATGAAAGCAATTCTCAGAGGGAAATTCATAGCTGTGAACTGAAATATTAGGAAAACACAACAGAAACAAATAAATACCTTAATGCTGGACCTTCAACAACTAGAAAAGGAAGAGCAAAACAAACCCAGTGCAAAAAGACGGGAAGAAATCATAAAGATTAGAGCAGAAATTAATTCAATTGAGACGAAGAAAACAATTCAAAGAATCAATAAACAACAAAGCTAGTTTTTTGCAAGATTAAATAAAATTGCTAAGACCCCAGCTAACCTCATCCTACACAGGAAAGAAAAAATTCAAATACAAGCAATAAGGAATGAAAAGGGTGTAATTACCAAGACTCAGTGGAAATTCAGAAGATTATCAATATCTACTTTGAGAATCTTTACTCTCAGAGAATAGAAGACACAGTAGACATGGACAGATTCCTTGAAAGGTACAAATTACCACAACTGAATCGACAAGATATAACCCCTCTCAATAGCCCAATAACAGTCAATGAAATATGATATGTAATTAAAAACCTACCGGCAAAGAAAAGTCCAGGTCCGGAAGGATTCACAGCTGAAATCCACGAGACATTTACAGAAGATGTAGTCCCTAAACTCCTCAAACTCTTCCATGAAATTGAAAAGGAAGCAATCCTCCCAAAATCATTCCTAGACGCAAGTATTATACTGATACCAAAACCAGGGGAAAATGCAAATAAGAAAGAGTACTACAGGCCGATCTCCCTCATGAACATAGATGCCAAAATCCTCAATAAAATACTAGCAAAAAAAATACAGCAAATCATCAAGAAGATCATACACCATGACCAGGTAGGATTCATTCAAGAGAGGCAAGGATGTTTCATTATTCAAAAATCTATACATTTAATACACTATAACAATAGAGCGAAAACTAAAAAACAAATGATCATCTCCATTGATGCAGAAAAGGCATTTGACAAAGTCCAACACTCATTCATGTTCAAAGTCTTACAGAAAATTGGAATACATGGTCTCTACTTCTATCTGGTAAAAGCCATTTATTAAAACCCAACAGCTAACATAATCCTAAATGGGGAAAAACTGAAATCTTTTACTCTTAGATCTGGTACAAGACAAGGATGTCCTCTATCAC